ACGCCACTGCCCTCGCCAAAATGGCGGCTCCCAACTTATTCCTCTTGCTGTTTATACCCTCTATACGCACGTTATATATAAGTATCTACATTTGTGTTCACCATAGCGAACCACTAAGCTGGTATGGTGAGTGCAGTCAATAAAAGGTGGCCACACACAGTCAGAAGACAGCCACTACCCTCCCCTCCCACAGCATTACTCCTCCCTCCATGGAGCACAGCGGTAAATATCACCACAATCCTGCTATTATCAGAATCCTGGTCAGTTGTATCACAGTCAGGGGTCTTATGTAATAATATCATTACATAATAGCATGAACAAGTATATTATGGCATTTTTAGGCGATGCTGTGGTCACAAGCTGAACAGCAGTGCTGTGAGCTCATGCTGCGTGCGTCAGGCTTGGTAGCTCACTCAATACTGAGGCCCCTAACACCCGGGAATTTGGCCCACGATTTTTTTTTAAATGGCGTCTGTTTACAAGAGCCCTGATGGTGTGGTGAACCCCGTGTATCCGCGGGCCGTTTAAATCTTGCATAGTACTCCAAAGCATCATATGATGCGATGCACAATTTACTGCAAGTCGGTCAAAGCATCATATGATGTGATGCGCAATTTAAGGGTTAAAAAGGTTAAGGCAACGGCCTACTGCACCGTGATTTGGACGAGTCGTATTAGCGAAAGTTTGCAATTCTTCTCATGCTGCTCACATTTTCTTAATTAATGAGGAAGGGACATTCTGTACTGTCTCCTCCCCTGAAGAAATTTCCTCAGCTGTCTCTTGTTGCTGCTCCTTGTGAAGTTCTTCGGTGATCAGTTCTTCGGTGTGTTCCTCCACCAGCTCGCAACACACAACACTCGGAACACTATGAATGCCACTTCTTTTTCTAAATTTCTCAAACCATCCCCTGCTCGCTTTAAACTCTTTCCCATTTGCATCACTCGTTCCAAGGGTTTTCTTTAAAAGGTCTTCATGCAATTTTCTTGCCTTTTCACAAATGATGGCCTCTGAAACTCTATCACCCACTAACTCTGCTGTGTATCCAAATTAATAATAACTGTTCAACATCCTCAAGTGTTTGTGTTCTATGTTTCGTGATTATTGATACGCCTTTTGCTGCTTTAGCACTCATAATATCCTTTTTCTTAGCCAATATGATGGATACCGTTGATTGAGATTTGTTGTACTGCCTAGCTAGTTCAACAACCCGCACACCATCCTAATATTTACGAATGATCTCTTGTTTCTGCTCTATGGTCATCCTTACATGGGTTTTTGTATGTTGAGCCTTACCACTGACATTCCTGGGACTCATGGCATGATATATAATAATTACTTTAATGTTCAAAATGCAAAAAATCACCATAAAAGCAGAATTTCTTACAGGCGTGATCGTCACTAAGCGGGCAGCTGTAGTAAACTGAGGCAGGTCTGCCGCGTGACCAGGAACCACGCGCTCGGTCGACCCGAACGTGTACCAACAAATATCGTTAGTCGACAACACCATCGTATGTCGAGTCATATTTTTTGATGAAATTTACATCGTAACTCGAAATTATTGTAAGTTGAGGTGCCACTGTATTGTGCTTGTTATACATCGTTGCAAAAGATCATGGTGTTTAGACCTTTTGGTGATGAGTAAGTGGTCTCCAAATTGGGGTTCAAATTTCTCACGACAAAATTTGGCAGTGATTTTAGCATGGATTGGTAGCTGAATGGCTACCCAAACTACTTTTACACTGCTGTATTTCGCACCAAAAGTTGTCCTGGTATGCCAAATTTCACACACCTCTGGGCACTAGACATGATTTGATAAAGGGTTAAAGTTGGCCCTTTTTCCGATATGTCCGCATTAACGGGATGAGAGCCCATTGAACATGGACCTCTTATTTAAGAACTGTAGCGAGTAGATTATCCCAATAATATACTCGCTCCAAATGCATTAGCCTAATGAGAGAAGTAAAGCTCTTCTTGGTACTAATTATGGAACTCAAACCTTTCCCAACTTCCACATACTATTCCTGTCAACCTTTGGAGAACAGTGAGGTGTTGCCTGAGCATATAAGCAGCAGAGTGGCGAATAATAACTAGTCTACTTTCAAGTATGGTCTAGAACAGACACTTGAGAGATACTTTACCGACGCTCAGTGCGCTCAACTCTCACCAAATGTTGGTGGTAAATACCTTAGATTATGTGTGACAGGCATCCCTGAAAGTGAGCCTGGGTGTGGGAGCATGGTGCAATACTGGGTTCAGAATTGGCCTCTTGTATGCCAGGAATTGCTTTGCCAAACTTTTCTAGTAATTGTCACTACATCAAAACTGAACGCATGGAAATTTCGTTATCCACCTGTTTTGACAAGATACATATTGTAACTGTTCAGCATTGTTACATCATCAAGGTAGAAAACATTTTCTTGCTTCACCTCACTGTTTTCCGTACACCACTGCCCCCACCAAACGCATGTTGATGTTATGGTCAAAGACACAATCTGGCTTATAGATTATTTGTTTTGTCGTTCTGTTCACCTTACCACTGTCCACCATTCTACCATGGTGAACGGTGGTCAACACGTTCACTTCACACCTGTCTTTCCACCAGAATGAAAGCATTGCACCAGTTTTTCTTAGCTCGCAATCACTAACCTGCATAGCAGTGTGAAACACTGGCATTTCCCTTCGTTTTGTCTTAACTGTGCTACACACTCCAGTTCTATTATCAATCAAGAACCTAGTTAGCAAGGGACTGGTATAATAGTTGTGTATAATATATGGCCCTTGTTCAGATATGGTGCAAGCAGTGACTCCACCACACTACCTGAGAAGCCATGTTGGTCATTAACAGGAATGTTTAAATTTGTACCTGTATACATTAATATGTGTAACACAATTCCTGTTTCATAGTCAGAGTACAAAGAATTTCAATCCAAATCGGTAGCATTTGGAGGGGATATACTGCTTGAAGGCAAGAGATCCTTTGAAAAGCACAAGGGATTCGTCAATCACCAGCTTCGGAGCTGGTACGTAGAAATCCCTTTACTTTCCAATAAGTTCATTCAGGATGTGCCTTAACTTCCAAAGTATATCATCAGTCTGGCCTTCATTATTTGCAAAATGAAGACACCTGAGGATTATAAAAAATGTCTCGAGACATATATTTGCCAAACATTGGTGTTGGAACAGTATGGTCTTTGCTCCTATAAGCAAAGGAGCCGGTCGGCCGAGCGGACAGCAAGCTGGACTGTGATCCTGTGGTCCCGGGTTCGATCCCGGGCGCCGGCGAGAAACAATGGGCAGAGTTTTTCACCCTATGCCCCTGTTACCTAGCAGTCAGTAGGTACCTGGGTGTTAGTCAGCTGTCACGGGCTGCTTTCTGGGGGTGGAGGCCTGGTCGAGGACCGGGCCACGGGGACACTAAAGCCCCGAAATCATCTCAAGATAACCTCAAGAAGATAATGGTAGAGTACATGTTTGACACAATGTTTCATAAACATACAGTGCCAAAAACACATACATTTTACCTAAAGTCGTATCTTTCCATTGCTGTAAACGTGAAAAATCGGATAACTCCTCCTCAGGAATGAGATCAGCCGCATATTTGTTCGTTTCCTGAACAATATATTCCACTAGCGGCTCATCAAAATATGCAGTAAAGTAGTCCATTTCACACATATTGGGACCTATGTCGGGGAAAAGGTCTGTAATCCCAACATCTGAATTATCAAAGACATGAATTTGTGAAACAAAATCTGTCCCATCACTCCACAAAAATACCTGGTGTCTTTCGAGAGGCAATAGCAGCACCACGGTGAGGAAACTGTGGACCAGGAGCTGAAAAACTTTGACGCGACAAAATGTCGCTTGGCAACACCATACACTCCACTGGCACTATCAGCACCGAAACTATTTTTCGATTCCTAGTCACTAAAACCAGAAAATGATTCACCTTCCTCACTCATTGACCAAAACATCAATATCTTGCAAAGTAGCACATGAACTGTGTGGTCTGGCATGAAGTGGGGTCGAATGAGGGCAAGGAGGCATGGGCGAGATGCTAGGCCTAGCCCTCATGGAACCAGCATGTTCACTCTCATCGTCAGTCGTATCCACATCATGAGCTGTGTAGTCATGATCCATGTCAGAATCGTCAATATCGGATTCATCACCATCCAAGAACAAATTCTCGCCATGGTGTCAACCAGGTAACTGACCGGTAGACAATGGCGGCCTATGCTGGATTTTTTTCCCCAGGTGGCGTTTGTTTATGGTCGGGTGCGGCTTGATGAATGGCTACTCCTATCCCACATTGGGTGTTTAAAATCTAGCACTAGACACTAAATCGGCTATTGACGTATTGCGCGGTATCGGTAATGTTACTCGCATCAGCTATACGTGTATTGCGCAAACTAAGGGTTAAGAACTTGCGCGAAACGCTGTGTGTGCTAGTGGCTGTACAAAAATGTAAGGACTCTTGCATATATAGTATAAATAAAAAAATTATAAAAATAAAGGGATAAAAACCCACACTTGTACAGTAATTTGTGAAATTCATGTAAAGATTTACACCAAATCTTTTGCACTTTACTGAGTGCTTTATCTCGGGTGACTGCCTGAGTGCACTCTCCTGGGCACTAATCACTAAGTGATTAGTGCCAAGTGACGATTGCTGAGCGATTAGTCATTGAGATTGTCTCGTCCTAAACACACTCGAACCTTGACAAAGTACTCAGGAGAAAGTGAAAGACTTGTTGTAAATCTTTACATAAACTTCACAAATTACACAAGTGTGGGTTTTTTATCCTAAGCTTAATAGTTCTATGACAAGGTCAAACATACAACAGGAAAAAGAATGCTATGTACATGGTTTTTTGAGTCTTAATAAATTGCATGATGTAGTTGACTGTTGATTGTATTAGATATACATGGAGATTGGTACTGCCACACAAACTATATTGGAAATACAGTATTCCAATTTATGAATACATTTTTCTCTCCCCCAGTCCTTCATGAGGCAACATTCTACATCATCAGCACCAGCTATTATGTTCTGACAGAAGAGGGTAAATATTCTCCAGCTGAGCTAGGTCTGGTGCAGTTCAGCTTCCGAAATGGAATCTTCAGGCATTATCATGCAATCTTGAAGCGTAAGTTACAACAATTTTGTTATCAAGAGTTACTGTATCATTTTTACATAATGTTATGTGTGTCTGTAATTACCTAAGTGTAGTTACAGGATGAGAGCTACGCTCGTGGTGTCCCGTCTTCCCAGCACTCTTTGTCATATAACGCTTTGAAACTACTGACGGTCTTGGCCTCCACCACCTTCTTACTTAGCTTGTTCCAACCGTCTACCACTCTATTTGCGAACGTGAATTTTCTTATATTTCTTCGGCATCTGTGTTTAGCTAGTTTAAATCTATGACCTCTTGTTCTTGAAGTACCAGGTCTCGGGAAATCTTCCCTGTCGATTTTATCAATTCCTGTTACTATTTTGTATGTAGTGATCATATCACCTCTTTTTCTTCTGTCTTCTAGTTTTGGCATGTTTAATGCTTCTAACCTCTCCTTGTAGCTCTTGCCCTTCAGTTCTGGGAGCCACTTAGTAGCATGTCTTTGCACCTTTTCCAGTTTGTTGATGTGCTTCTTAAGATATGGGCACCACACAACAGCTGCATATTCTAGCTTTGGCCTAACAAAAGTCATGAACAATTTCTTTAGTATATCGCCATCCATGTACAGTATTTAAATGCAATTCTGAAGTTAGAAAGCATAGGCTCCTTGCACAATATTCTTTATGTGGTCCTCAGGTGATAGTTTTCTATCTAGAACCACCCCTAGATCTCTTTCTTTATCAGAATTCTTTAAAGATTTCTCACATAATATATAGGTTGTGTGGGGTCTATGTTCTCCTATTCCACATTCCATAACATGACATTTATTAACATTAAATTCCATTTGCCAAGTGGTGCTCCATATACTTATTTTGTCCAGGTCTTCTTGAAGGGCATGACAATCATCTAAATTTCTTATCCTTCCTATTATCTTAGCATCATCAGCAAACATGTTCATATAATTCTGTATACCCACTGGTAGATCATTTATGTACACAATAAACATCACTGGTGCAAGAACTGAACCCTGTGGTACTCCACTTGTGACATTTCTCCATTCTGATACATTGCCTTTGATTACTGCCCTCATTTTTCTATCAGTCAGAAAATTTTTCATCCATGATAGAAGCTTACCTGTCACCCCTCCAATATTTTCCAGTTTCCAGAACAACCTCTTATGTGGAACTCTGTCGAAAGCCTTTTTTAGGTCCAGATAGATGCAGTTAACCCAACCATCTCTTTCCTGTAATATCTCTGTGGCTCGATCATAAAAACTGAGTAAATTCGATACACAGGATCTTTCAGATCGAAAACCATACTGTCTGTCTGATGTTATATTTCTCTCCGGGTGTTCTACCCATTTAGTTTTGATTAGTTTTCCAATACTTTCACTATTACACTTGTCAATGATACAGGTCTATAATTGAGGGGATCTTCCCTGCTGCCACTTTTGTAGATTGGAACTATGTTAGCCTGTTTCCACACGTCTGCTACGATTCCTGTACACAGGGATGCCTGAAAGATCAGGTGTGTGTGTGTGTTTTTACATTTTTAAGACAAAAATTGACCCGGACAAGAATAATTGGGTGTAAAGGGGGTAAAGGGGGTGACGGAGGTGACGTCGTCTGCACGATTTGTCTAGCTGTGTAGAGGGTGGCCACTATGCTCTTTGGGCGCACTACAAGCTTAGGTGTACAGTTACGGTGCATAAAACATGTAGATATTTATATATAATATGTTTATATAGGGTAATAACACTGCAAAAGGTATTGTTGGGGGAGAAAGTTTAGTGCGTGTGACCTTGAAGGAGTGAGGGAGCCGCCAGCCGCCATCTGTGTATAGCGACGACTCTTAGTGCCTGAACTAACTATATCAGCTTAACTGTACAGTTGTGGTGAACAAAATATATACATACTTATATATAACGTCTGTATATAGTGTAATAACACCACAAATGGTATTGTTGGGGGAGAAAGTTTAGTGCGTGTGTTGAGGGAGTGGCAGCGAGTGGCTGGCTGGTGTGTGGCGGTAACTCTTCGTTGCTTTTCGACTCTCAATACCAACTTAGTGGTTCGTTATGGTGACCAAAACATGCAGATACTTATATATAACCTGTGTATAGTGTGTAATAGCCGGAAAATTATTTGTTTATTGTTTTATAAACATAATAATTGAATCACTAATATGCACATCATACTTTTGAGTATAGCGATTATTCACCACTTTTATTATATAAATATATTACAATACACACTATTGAATAATATCACTGCAAAAAAAAACTAAGAAAAAATCAATTGGAGACATTGAAACAATTAGGTAATAATATCTTTGTGGCAACTCCCATCTGTCAGCGCGGGTGACGCTGACCGGGTCTGACGACCGCTCTGTCAACGCCCACTTTTTGCCAGACTTCCTCGGTCATTGCGCCCAAAATATGTCGCCTACGATTTTTTTTTGTTTTTTCCGTGCTCAGGGGACACAAATTAACATGTTTAGAAGAAGAAAAAAATTTTTTTATTTTTTTTTTTTTCTTGTGCACAGGGGTGTAAATGTCCCAAGGACCCCTGAGCAGTGTAAGGGTTAAGCTAGGTAGCATGATTGGGGTATAAGGGAAATCAGACTTGTAAAGGCTGATCACGTAAAGAACTGTTAAATTTAGTTTAGTTCATTTATTATGCACCCCATACCCATCTTGTGGGCGGTAGTGGAAAGGGTTACAGAGTCACATAATGGGCTCATGGATTGAACCCCCACAATTCATTTAGCTAAGCAAGTTAGTTTTGATGAGCTAGTTACAAAATTCAGTATAAGTCGTCACATCAACAATGGGTTCGAGATCGACCACAAGTACAGTTTCTAAATTAAGCAACTGACGTGTGTGGAGAGCTAGTGTCATAATTGATATGTTTGTCCTGCACACCGCCCCCCATCCAGTGGGCAGCGGTAGATAGGTTACAATCACTTAGTTACTACCTACAGTTAGCAAACTGGGGATATTTGGCTAAAATTTCTGGTAGCAGATCATTTTGAATGAAATATTTACACATCGTTGGAACATTGGTTATAGAATTGTCTCTGAATTCACGTATCTTTTTGCACTCCATCACATAGTGACGGAGGGGGTGTGAATAATTTTGTTGGCACAGTTTACATTTGGTCAGGTCTACATCGGCAGATAATGAGAATCCCAGAGATACTTGTAACAGAGTCTAAGCCGAGCAATAGTAACATCTAGAAATCTGCTGATTTTATTGGATGAACCATAGATGTGTGGCTCCTCTTCCACAATAGTATGATGATAGATGAAATTGGAGGTCTATATTCGTACTGCTTTTGCTGCGAAGACCTCCGTGGTTGCCGTCCTTTTTGACCTGGAAAAGGCTTACGACACCACCTGGCAATATCATATTCTGTCCCAACTTCATTCTTTTGGTCTTCGTGGTCATCTCCCTCTCTTTCTCCGAAGCTTCCTCTCTCGTCGTTCCTTTCATGTGAGGCTTGGTGACATACTCTCTGCCTCTTTTCACCAATACGAAGGTGTGCCACAAGGTAGTGTTCTGAGCACTACTCTCTTTTTTTTTGGTTGCCCTCAATAGGCTTCTTTCCTCTCTTCCTTCTGGCGTCTTCTCCACTCTGTCGACGATCTTACCCTTTGCTGTTGGGGTGATGATTCGCCTCTCCTTCAACGGCGGCTTCAACTTGCGATTGATGCCATGTCGTCTTAGGCCACCGATTATGGCTTCAGGTTCTCTACATCTAAAACTCCTGCTATGACTTTTACTCAGAAGCATGTTGTTCTTTGTCCATCTTTGTTGCTTTATGGCAATCCCCTTGTGTTCAGGGATTCTGCTAAGCTTTTGGGGTTAATCTGTGACACTCGTATGTCTTGGTCATCCCATATCTCTTACCTCCGAATTGAATGCCCTAAGGCCCATACCCTCTTTAAGGTTTTGTCCCATAATTCTTGGGGAGCGGATAGGTGCACTCTCCTCGCTTTACAGTCCTCTCTCATTTTGCCTGAACTCGATTATGGTTGCCCTGCTTACTCGTCTGCTCCTTCTGCTCTTCGCCGTCTTGATGCTTTGCACCATACTGGGTTGCGGTCTCCGCTCTGGGGCCTTTCGTTCGGCTCCGGTCCTCAGCTTGTATGTTTGACACTGGCTTCCTGTCTCTCCAGGACCGCCGTGATCGCTACTGTCTTCACTATCTTTCGTGGTCCTTGCAACATCCTTCCTCTCGTCTATCATGCTCTAACTTTTACCCCTCCTGTAGTTCCTGTTCCTCTTCACCTCCTCCCTCTTTCTGTCTGGTTATCTCGCTTACAGGATTCTCTTTCAGTTCGTATTTCTAATATTTCTAATATTACCCCTCCTACGGTTCTGAAACGCCTTTTCCTTGAGCACTTTTCTCACACTCCCGCTCCGTTTCCATCTTCACCAATGGGTCTAAGTCTGTGGACGGTGTAGGCTACTGTTGTTTTTCCTCACCACACGTATGTGTCGCCTACTTCCGGAGACTAGCATGTTCAAAGCTGAACTTTGTGCTATTCTCTATGCCCTTCGTTTCCTGCTTTCTCGTTGTCAATCTTCCTTTGTGGTTGTAGTCGACTCTCGTAGTGCCCTTATGACTCTGGGGTCCTTTAATCCTGTCTATCCGGTGGTTGTCGAGATTCAACATTGGCTGTTTCTTATCTCTAGTAAATTTAAATCTGTAGAGTTTTGCTGGGTTCCCAGCCATATAGGTGTTTCTTTAAATGAGCATGCGGATGATGCCACTAGAGAGGCTATCCACTCGTCCCGTTTCCATAAAGGTATTCCTTATTCCGACTTTTACCCGGTTATTCATTCCTCCATCCTTGCCTGTTGGCAGGGTTGTTAGTCTTCTGTTTTTAACAAACTGCGTAATCTTAAGCGTAGTGTGTCCACGTGGCCTTCCTCCTGTCACCGTAATTGGCAGTGGGAAATGGCTCTGTCAAGGTTGTGTATTGGCCATTCTCGTTTAACTCACGGTCACTTAATGGAGTGCGGCCCTGCTCCGTATTGTCAAAATTGCATTGTTCCTCTATGCACATTCTTGCTTCCACACTAATACCATGTTTGTTGAAAGTGCTAGGATGATGTAGGAAGATAAAAGATTGTCACTAACAAAAAGGACAGTGCACATGCCATTAATACCATTTATGTGCTACAGTACTTAATTACATGCAAAGCATTTCATATTTTTTAGCAGAATTTCCTTACTCTAAAGGCCTATTACTCAGCAAATTGTGTGCTTCCTTCCTGATGTTTAGGTATTCAGTAAAGTCTTGAATGTGTTAAAAGTTGATACAGTACTTGGAGGCTGTTTAGCCCATTTAGAGAACATAGTGTATATGCTTAATTTGTGACTTTTCAAGTCTATTGATCATTTCAGCGGAGATCCCCAAGAGTTACGGTTACACGGCCAAGGTCCACTCTGAAACTACACATAAATTACTAGAGGAAAACAGTTGTGCTGTTGAGGACAAAGAAGCAGTCTTTGTGGGATTGAAAGAATTTGTTTATAAGGTTTATTATCCATGGTTTTATATGTAAATGTGTGTTGTATATATGGTACATTTCTATATACAGTATTTATTGTAGCATTTTGATAACATAAGAAATGGTGAAAATTTGTTGTGCTTTTTAGTACTAATTGTTTTTCCCCAATAGGAGAACAACAAATTGCCACCTCTGTATACATTGGATGATGAAATCGAGCAGACAACAGCAATCTTGGATGACATTACAGGTATGATAAAATTTTGTAAAACATTCCTATAAAACACTATAGTATTATGAAACGAATAAAATCTGGTTATGCCACCTACTAATTGGGTAGTTGGTGGCATAATGGGCACAGCCAAACTTATGATGCATCAGGGTCCCCAAGACCTACACTTATCTTCCAGGAGCCATAAACAATCTTTCAACAAGGTGAGGGATGCTTAAGCATCAAAGAGCAACCCAAAACCAGAGGGGGGGGGGGGGGGAACCTACCAGAAAGCATAGGCACAACAAAACAAACTGCTTTAACCCCTATCATGCAGCTGTAGATATAGATACTTCTGGCCATGTGCCAAAATAAATAAAAAATATTGACTGTAATGAAATGCCTATTTCTGGACGAACGAGCCCCATTTGCTCCCTGAAGCAATTTTGCTGAGATGGCTAACAACTTCTAAGTCACATTAGCTGCAGAGCTTTATATGACTTACTGGGGACCAGAGCCAAAATCTAGCCCTCAAAAGCACACAGTGCAGGTGGTGTTCCATCACCCAAACAGGAAAGCATCTTAAAAGTTAGAAAACCCATATAGACCACTGCTGCATTATTAAAAAAAAAAAAAAAAAAAAAAAAAAAAAAAAAAAAAAAAAAAAAAAAAAAAAAACTGAAGCTTTGAAGCCTCCAAACGAATCTTGCAAACAATGTAAACAAATGATTGAATCTCTCAAAACTAGTGTAAGCTTGTTGGCACTAAAGCCCCCCACCCTCCAATAAGTGGGAGGGGGCTAGTGTTCCAGGTCTCCCCTGGCCTTCCATGCTAGTTCTGGAGCAAACGGGGAACACCACAAACACCAACTGCCAAAATTGGGAGGGAGGGGAGAGAATTGGGGAGCCATTGGGGCTCTTCCAGCAACATGCTAAATTAAATTTACATCCTAAAATTATTGTGGACATGATAAACATAAAGTATTATGCTTAAAGTATAAGGACTCACTGGCGGCCTCGAACCCCCATTTTTTGGCTTTCCATCACTGGCTGGTTAAGCTACTGGGTGGGAAAGTGGGTGTGAAGGGATGAAGAGAAGCAGCAGGAGACTTGTGGTTGTATGGCATGTCCATATATTTTTGTTTTGACAGTGCTATGGAAATACAGTGTAGTACTAATAAAGCTTTTAAGCCAATTTACTAATAAAGCTCTTCAGATCCAGTGTTTGCATACTACTACATACATGGAAACTTGTAGCATTTAATAGAAAGACTAATCCTTTACATACTGTGCTCATTATTTTGCATATTAAACTTTGTAATATACTTTCTCAAAGTTCATTAAGTACACATTACAATATTTCTTGTGTACCTCCTCCACAAGCTATCTAATGCAAATCTAATCCCCCACATCCTCTTCCACCACAAAACCACTTTGATCATCAGTGACCAGTTTATTTACTATATTTTCCAGTCACTACATTGCCGTACAATCTTGCTCACTGCAATTGTCTCGCAAGTCCCTAAAAATCTAATGAACTGTATTTAAATGATTCCCTGATAAATTACTTTATATAGTATTTATATAATCATATGTTTTCAAATTGATTACTTAGGAAGACAATAGTAAAAACATAGCCTGGTTGCAGGCGATGAGTCACAATAACGTGGCTGAAGTATATTGACCAGACCACACACTAGAAATTGAAGGGACGACGACGTTTCGGTCCGTCCTGGACCATTCTCAAGTCAATTGTGACTTGATTGTGACATTCTCACAATCGACTTGAGAATGGTCCAGGACGGACCGAAACGTCGTCGTCCCTTCAATTTCTAGTGTGTGGTCTGGTCAACATAGCCTGGTTATTTTAATTGCCCCCTTGTCTAAATTTGTTCAATATTTTTTCCAAACAGGTGCAGGATATTATAGAGTTTACTCGTTAGGTAAACTCTTCATGAACCTGTACTCCAGAATACATCCTAAGTGTCCTATTACACTGTCCATTGCAAACAATATGATGACTCACTGTGGACTTGATTATCATCCAGAAGCTGCTTGTGAGGTATTTAAAGATAAAAATTTAATTTACAAATAATTTTGTTTTAATGTTTTAAGTAGGCAGAAATGTATTGACAATTCCAGTACAGTATAAAGATGAGTAGCTTAAGCACATTTCTAAATTATTAGTGCTTAACCACTTAACTGCGCCAACCGAGTATTCTCGGTCGGCGGGAAACTGCGCCAACCGAAAAAACTTTTTTTATTTTTCGGTACCAATTCTAAATGTGTACGAGGTTGGTTGTGTACGAAATGGACGCTTAGAACCTCCAGTGAGAGGCAGCCATCTTGGAAAAAAATCTCAGAATGCCCTAGGGCTGCTGGCTGGGTTAGTACCGAGTGAGCAACCATGGATGGCACATGCGCCTCTGGCTCCCAAACACCTGTCCGATGCGGTGTTGAAAGATAACACTGTTGGTAAAATTCAAACGTTGTTGTTTGAAGAACATAAGGGTCATACTATTGGTGAAGCTAGGCGCAATAAGGACCTAACACAAAGGTCGGATGCAAGTGATACAGCGAGCGTATCCAGTTGTAGCTCTGAGCGTCACCCTTGCAATCCTATGCTATCTACAATTTATTTAGATGATACATGGATGAATCGTTTTCTGCGTTCAGTAATGATGCATCTGATACAAATAGCATAGATGAACAGTGTTAGCGGCTTCCATGGTGGGGGTTTTCTATAGATATTTTCAAGAATACCTGAATCTCTTCCTAACTGACGGACATTCTTGAGGCAAGCTGAATCTCTACCTGTGTGGGACCATACAAAGCGATCTTTTCAAGACTACCTTATCTTGAGATCTTGAGGTTATCTTGAGATGATTTCGGGGCTTTAGTGTCCCCGCGGCCCGGTCCTCGACCAGGCCTCCACCCCCAGGAAGCAGCCCGTGACAGCTGACTAACACCCAGGTACCTATTTACTGCTAGGTAACAGGGGCATAGGGTGAAAGAAACTCTGCCCATTGTTTCTCGCCGGCGCCTGGGATCGAACCCAGGACCACAGGATCACAAGTCCAGCGTGCTGTCCGCTCGGCCGACCGGCTTCCCTCACAAATTGATCTTTTCCTATAATCTTTTCAATGCTACCTCATGCTTTACAAGCTTGGCTACATACAACCTACAAATACTAAAGCTAAGGGTGTACGTGAGTGCGTTATTTGCAAGCACACAGAATGAAGAAACAGGAAGCGAAAAGTTATCTGTACCTGGTGCACCGAGAGCGAAGTCACGCTTCCGAAGTACTGAGTGTGTAATACAGTGTGTTACTGTGTAAATAGTGTGTGAAACTGTACATATTGTAATTTTAGTGAATTTTTAACAGGTAATATTGCAACAATAAACATTTATTGTGGACACCTTACTGACACATGTATCACAGTTCCAGAGAACATTATGAACGTTCTACTGTATACATATTGTAAAGGACACAAATATGCATCATATACGATAAAAAAAATAAAATAAAACTGCATTGGAAATACATAAAACAAATAATTGAAAATATATTTGTGGCAACACCCGGTGCTTGAATGGCCCGCGCGACCGTGTCTGGGCGATTCATGCACGGGCGACCAGGCTCTGATGACGCCACAGCGCACCTTGTCCACGTCCCCACAGCCAAAGTAAGTGGAATTTGGTATTTATTTTTACATAGACATGTTCAGGGAAGGGAATTTATCACTTTATGAAGAAAAAAGAATTTTTGGGAACACTTTATTTTACGCGCACTGGGGGAATTTCACAATAAACTCGGCGCAGCTTGGTGGTTAAACAAGAAAGAGAAAGTCATTATTTAAAAAAAAAATTTTACACCTGGGTATGTCTCAATCTGCTAATATTTAGGATCCTTTCTAGGGGGCTTCCTGAATCTGTTGCAGAGGAAACTTCCCTTGCTAAGTCACAGGTCATAAGTGTCCTGTTGAATTTACAAGAGACCAGAACCTGGCCCTCGTGAAGGCACAAGCAGCATGGGAGTGTATGACCACCCTCACTGGTAAAGCAACTAGAAAGAAGAGGAGAATACAGACAACTGCATGTTCCATGAAAATGAAGCACCGAAATGGCCAACAGACACCGTGAAAGATTCTCTTAAAACAAAATGGCTTGCTGAAAACTGTACAAAACATTTGCCTAGTGTGCTGAGCCGCCACACTAGGTGATGTCCCAGAGCTCCCAGCCTTGCTGTTGCCAGACATTCCACATCTAACCTTCCCTTGTTACCTCATCATATAAAGTCCCATTTCTTCATCATAACTGCTGACTTTTGGCCCCCAATTCCTGTTGCTAGTGTGTTGATTCTAGTTTTTGCTATTTGCTTCATGAGAATATTTATAAACTGGAATTGGCTTGAGTTGCATGTGTTTAGGGCGCCTTTCATAGGTGATCATTCTGCATTACCCCAGCACTGTCGGAGTACCTTCTCTGCTGTGCATGGGAGTTTGCCCATGAGAGGCAAAGCCACTGACTGGCTAGTGCACAAGTCATTGATTCTTCTGTAGGACCTTGTGATTGGGGGCATTGTTTTGTTATGGGGTGTACTTGGGTGTGTGCTCTTGTCTGGCACACCACAGAAACCTTGCGTAGCAAAGTTTATTCTACAGGCTCTGTTCAGCGTCTGTTCGTTGGATGAATGTCCCTAGTGCCTGGATGTCCTGCTTGGTTAGTCACCTTCAGGCCCTGGCACCTCTCCTGCGGGTATGTTGTGTGGCTTTTCATGGACTTGACATATCAAGCCCACTCTTGCTACATGCGAGTTTGAAGTGCTTGTTGGCTATGCTTCTTGCCGACGATCATTCCCTGTCTCTGCCATGCTGCCTGTTAGGATCGGTGACGTCTTTGACCTGAAGTCCCATGACACTTGCTTGTTGAATTTCAATCTTATCAGAGCTTGTAGGTTATTCAGAGCCTCCTGCAAATGGGATGTTATTCAAGCAGCTGCTGCTTTGTAGGCTCTTGTTGTTCTCACTTTTGTGGTTGGTGGGATGGTGCTCATTTGGATGCCTAAAGTTAGCCCGTTTGGTTTTTAGGGAACCAGTTTTGGAAGAGTTGGTGAATTCCACCTGGTCTGTTTGCTCTGCCTCCTTTCTTGTACTGCTGGTAAGGTGTATCCAGCATCTGGTTTTCCTCTTTCCCACCTTGGTTTGAGGCCCGAAACATACGAGGGTTTGTCAGGGTTTAGCCTTCAACATAGCTCGGTCGACCCCATCCTCTTCAACCATTAAACTGTGCAACACTTCATATAACATGTTGAATAACTGACGCGAAAGTGCGCACCTCTTCATATGACGTTTTGGAATACCACGCAAGATTTAATAGGCCCGTGGCTACACAGGGTTCACATCAGCATCCTTAGTTCTTGTAAACGGATACCATTTTTTTTTTTAAATCGTAAGCAACATTCCCGGGTGTGAAAGCCTCGGTACTGAGTGAGCCACCAAGGCTGGCACACGCAGCATGAGCTCACAGCACTGCTGTTCAGCTTGTGACCACAGCATTGCCTAAAAATTTCAAGAATATATTTCACTGGTATTATTTAGTGATAGTATTACAGAAGTCCCCTGACTGTGGTAAAAATGACCAGGATTCTGATAATAGCAGGATTGTTGTGATAATTTGTGCTGTGCTGTGGGAGGAGTAATGTTGAGGGTGGGAGGGCTGTAGCGTCATCTGCCGAATCTGTGTGGCCACCTGTTACTGTCTGCACTTACTATACCAGCTTAGTGGTTCGCTATGGTGAACACAGAAGTAGATACTCTTATATAACATGTATATTGTCAAGGTTCTCCCCCCTTCCTACCTTAGATGGTTGCAGCCGTTCCCACGGGTCTTTGCCCCTCCGTGTAACAAACTAGGTTTGTTGTAAGAAATTATTCAGTATAGATTCTCATAGACATGGGGACTGTGTAGTCTTGAAAGTTTGGCGTAAGACTGTACTTGACCTGACTCAGCAGAGAAAGGTCATCCCTCCAGGGATTAAAGGGATTAGCGTTTAAGATTACAAGATGGCTGGTTCTCTGTATTAATGCAACATATAATGAATATTTTGACAAAATACAGTGACAACTAATTTATGTAGGCTAGGCCAACATGAAGGTAGAGGTTGAGATCAGGGTTCATACACCGTCATTATGAAGTGACATCATCAGTAGGAGGTACTAGGTCGGTGGCCGCTTATGACGTAGCTGAGGCAAGTGGGTCACGCGGTTGATGTGACCACAGTCTTCCATATTTAGTAATTTATAATGTAGAAATCCTGTTCACTAGCCAATATTGTAATTGGAAATAGCCTTTCTCTAAGATGCCTGTACAATTACCATCAGTTTAAGAGTTCTACCGTCTGGGTTATTCAGTACAATACAGATTAGTTGTTTAATTTAAACTCTGCTTAGTAAGTTTAGTAACCAGGCGGAGTGATACTAGCCTAGGTCAGTCCTTAGCTGGATACAAGTCAGTGTGGTTCTGGGCAGCAACTGAAGAGGTCAACCATTCTCACCTCTCCAGAGATCAGCACTCCATCGGCTGGTTTTGTAGTTCAAGGTAAAAGTGTCAGTGAAGTTTAGTAGAGTAATCTCATGTCTGTCTCTATAGGGGGGGGGGGATAAAAAAAAAATATATATATATATATATATATATATATATATATATATATATATATATATATATATATATATATATATATATATATATATATATATATATATATATATATATATATATATATATATATATATATATATATATATATATATATATATATATATATATATATATATATATATATATATATATATATATATATATATATATATATATATATATATATATATATATATATATATATATATATATATATATATATATATATAATATATATATATAATATATATATATAATATATATATATATATATATATATATATATAATATATATATATAATATATATATATATATATATATATATATATATATATATATATATATATATATATATATGTCGTACCTAGTAGCCAGAACGCACTTCTCAGCCTACTTTGCAAGGCCCGATTTGCCTAATAAGCCAAGTTTTCCTGAATTAATATATGTTCTCTAATTTTTTTCTTATGAAATGATAAAGCAACCCATTTCATTATGTATGAGGTCAATTTTTTTTTATTGGAGTTAAAATTAACGTAGATATATCACCGAACCTAACCAACCCTACCTAACCTAACCTAACCTAACCTATCTTTATAAGTTAGGTTAGGTTATGTAGCAGAAAAAGTTAGGTTAGGTTAGGTTAGGTAGGTTAGGTAGTCGAAAAAACATTAATTCATGAAAACTTGGCTTATTACGCAAATCGGGCCTTGCATAGTAGGCTGAAAAGTGCGTTCTGGCAACTAGGTACGACATATATATATATATATATATATGTCGTACCTAATAGCCAGAACGCACTTCTCAGCCTACTATGCAAGGCCCGATTTGCCTAATAAGCCAAGTTTTCATGAATTAATGTTTTTTAGACTACCTAACCTACCTAACCTAACCTAACCTACCTTTTTCGGCAACCTAACCCAACCTAACCTATGAAGATAGGTTAGGTTAGGTTAGGTAGGGTTGGTTAGGTTCGGTCATATATCTAAGTTAATTTTAACTACAATAAAAAAAATTGACCTCATACATAATGAAATGGGTAGCTTTATCATTTCATAAGAAAAAAATTAGAAAAAATATATTAATTCAGGAAAACTTGGCTTATTAGGCAAATCGGGCCTTGAATAGTAGGCCAAATAGTGAGTTCTGGCTACTAGGTACAACATATATATATATATATATATATATGTCGTACCTAGTAGCCAGAACTCACTTCTCAGCCTACTATTCAAGGCCCGATTTGCCTAATAAGCCAAGTTTTCCTGAATTAATATATTTACTATAATTTTTTTCTTATGAAATGATAAAGCTACCCTTTTCACTATGTATGAGGTCAATTTTTTTTTATTGGAGTTAAAATTAACGTAGATATATGACCGAACCTAACCAACCCTACCTAACCTAACCTAACCTATGTATATAGGTAAGGTTAGGTTAGGTAGCCAAAAAAGCTAGGTTAGGTTAGGTAGGTTAGGTAGACGAAAAAACATTAATTCATGAAAACTTGGCTTATTAGGCAAATCGGGCCTTGCATAGTAGGCTGAGAAGTGAGTTCTGGCTACTAGGTACGACATATATATATATATATATATATATATATATATATATATATGTCGTACCTAGTAGCCAGAACTCACTTCTCAGCCTACTATGCAAGGCCCGATTTGCCTAATAAGCCAAGTTTTCATGAATTAATGTTTTTTCGTCTACCTAACCTACCTAACCTAACCTAGCTTTTTTTGGCTACCTAACCTAACCTTACCTATATACATAGGTTAGGTTAGGTTAGGTAGGGTTGGTTAGGTTCGGTCATATATCTACGTTAATTTTAACTCCAATAAAAAAAAATTGACCTCATACATAGTGAAAAGGGTAGCTTTATCATTTCATAAGAAAAAAATTATAGTAAATATATTAATTCAGGAAAACTTGGCTTATTAGGCAAATCGGGCCTTGAATAGTAGGCTGAGAAGTGAGTTCTGGCTACTAGGTACGACATATATATATATATATATATATATGTTGTACCTAGTAGCCAGAACTCACTATTTGGCCTACTATTCAAGGCCCGATTTGCCTAATAAGCCAAGTTTTCCTGAATTAATATATTTTTTCTAATTTTTTTCTTATGAAATGATAAAGCTACCCATTTCATTATGTATGAGGTCAATTTTTTTTTATTGTAGTTAAAATTAACTTAGATATATGACCGAACCTAACCAACCCTACCTAACCTAACCTAACCTATCTTCATAGGTTAGGTTGGGTTAGGTTGCCGAAAAAGGTAGGTTAGGTTAGGTTAGGTAGGTTAGGTAGTCTAAAAAACATTAATTCATGAAAACTTGGCTTATTAGGCAAATCGGGCCTTGCATAGTAGGCTGAGAAGTGAGTTCTGGCTACTAGGTACGACATATATATATATATATATATATATATATATATATATATATATATATATATATATTATATATATATATATATATATATATATATATATATATATATATATATATATATATATATATATATATATATATATATATATATATACATATATATATATATATATACATATATATATATATATATATATATATATATATATATATATATATATATATATATATATATACATATATATATATATATATATATATATATATATATATATATATATATATATATATATATATATATATATACATATATATATATATATATATATATATATATATATATATATATATATATATATATATATATATATATATATATATATATATATATATATATATATATATATATATATATATATATATATATATATATATCCTATATATATATATATATATATATATATATATATATATATATATATATATATATATATATGTATATATATATATATATATATATATATATATATATATATATATATATATAAATATAAATAAAATAAGAAAATTCGTGTTAGAATTATTAATCTTACTCTTTCGGTCATATTTAACAACATATATATAGATATTATATAATATATATTTTATAATATTATATATTTTATATTATATACTTTAAATTATTATACTTTTTATTATATACTTTGTATTATGTTAAATATTTTGTTATATATTATATAATAATATTATATATATGGGGGGTACCACCTCTGGTGCAATTATATATTTATTATATATTATATTATACATTATATTATTATATTATATTATTATATATATATTATTATATATTATATTATTATATATTATTATTATATAATTATATATTATAATATATATTATATATTATATTATATTATACTGTATATTATATTATAATATTATGTTATATTAAATATGTGCATATTTGGAAAATACTAGGATTGGTTGCAAGTGTAAATTACTATATCTATCCCTCCCCCCACCTGCACGGCAGGGAAAATAAATAAATAAATATATATATATTTTATTTACTTATATTTATTTTTATTTTATTATTTTTTTTTTTTTTTTATTTACACTTGCAACCAATCTTAGTATTTTCCAAATATACACACGGGAATAACACCATACGAGTCCTGAAGGCATGGCAGGACGTGCAGAATAGCCCCATTGAAAAGCAGAGGTGCAATTGGCATGCTGAGAGAGAACTCAGTGGACGTAAGACTTATTAACTTTTCAACACTTTCTCCATACACATACTGGCTGACCTTTTGCGGTGTTCAAAAGAGAACTTTTGAACACTGAGCCGTCCCCGTGGCGCAATGGTAAAACTCGCTCGGTGCTTTGTGAACGCTTTGGCCTGGGTTCGTAACCTGGCTAGAGAGGATTGCGCCAATTCTTAATTGTAGTCTCTTTTCACTCGGCAGTAAATGGGTACTTGGTTGTTAAATGGTTTGGCAGGTCATATTCCAGGGGAAAATTAGGATTAAGCTGTACAAGCTCTGGACCATCTCTGGTACTTGCTGCAGATAATACAACAAAGGAGCACTACTGTGTTGCTCTAGGTGATGCATCGGCATGAGAACTGAATTGATGGCTGATACTGAACTGAGCTCATGACAGCCTGGTCGCGGTGTGCAGTACTATCAAGCTTTAGCTAATTTTGTGAAAGTTTCTTTGTTTACTTATATTTAGAATTGTTTTTGGCAGGATTGTGGCTTTGTCTTATGTACCCAGCATTTGACTGTAAAGATTTGCTGACTTCCTGGATGCTTTCCCCGTGAAATAGGGAATGTCATTTGATCCCTGCCTTGTGTGTGTGTGTGTGTGTGTGTGTGGGGGGGGTGCAGCCTCTGACACTGATCCCCAGTAGGCCAAAGAACTTGTGCAACTGATGTGACTTGTAGGATGGAGCAATCTTGGAGAGATGGCTACAGGAAGCCACCATAGGGTGCTCTCAAATGGGGAAATTGGTAATAAACAAAATTGGCAATCATAGTAAACAGATTAATCTTTGGAAGTTGAAATTATTTGCAAGTAATGTTAATAAAACTGTTACATAAATGAGTTGCAGTGATGCCCAAACTAGCATAGTTCATAGTGTAGTTAAGATTATGCTAGGAATGTGTAGTTTGAATGTACTGTATTCTTGACTTTAAATATTGATTTTATGCTATAAATATATTTTAACAAAGGTTTTATATTATATGCTGTAATGTTTGTGTATATTACAGTGGCATAAAAATTACCAGAAAGATGCTGGAAAGTATTGCTCGTTATCATGTGCACGTCGATGGTTATTTTTGATGTGTGATAATGTGAACTTGGAGAAAGAATTTGGAATACAGCCACAAGAAGGTAGACATCAGCTACGTGCTGTTCAATCGTGCGGTGTTCCGGTGGATGTTCAGAGGACTGTTCATAAGGTAACTTTTACTGTCATCATTCACTAATAGTGTATATATTAGAAGGGACGAGATTTAACTTTCAGGTATACAATATTATTGCATGACATGAGCACAGTATATTCCAATACAATACTTGGTATTGTATTGGAATATACCTAAGTATATTCCCCTAAGTAGCTTTATATACTGTATTACATTTGGTCAAGTTTTAAATATCTTGAGATAAGCATTTATGGTTACTATCAACAGCGAGTGAATTAATAAAACAGTATTGTGTTTTGAGTAACCTGAGAAGAATAATTTTTGTATTGTAAAATTGGAGCCACTTTACAATACAATAACTTGATATTAGCAACTGAATGGTTAGGTGCATTTCCTATCACTCAATGTTCACCTAGCAGCAAGTAGATACCCAAGAGTTAGTTGACTTGTTGTGGGGTTGCATTCTGGGACGGTCATTAATTTGACCTCGGGGGAATGGAGAGGAGCCTAACATTTGTAAATACTCTGGTTGCCTATTCCCTGACACAATGAATTATTATTATTTGGATTGAATTCCAGCAGCCATTTATCTGCCCACTCTTGAAGCTCAATACCCTGGAAACACAAACCGTAACTGTGTCTATTTTCCGCTTGTTACAACTTGTAATAAAGTTGTTACATCTTGGCTTAACGTGTTTGACGTATTAGACATTGTGTTGTGGGGGCCCTCTCAACCTCGTGGCCCCAACCCAGGAAACCAGGGGTATTCTCTTGCACCATCGGTCTGTGTCAGGTTCGGTTAAAGGCAGTGTGTCCTGTGGAGGCAGGAATGTACTAGATGATCCTTAAGTGACTTTCCTCGTCTCCAGGCCAGCATTGGAGGTGTTTGGGCAAACCTAGGCCAAGAAGGGTGGTCCCCATAGGTGTTTCTCAGCCAGTTCCAGATGTCAGTCAGGGCATTATGGAGAGGGCTTGCTAGGCCGTTAAAATACAGCGATGGGAGGATCCATCTCGACTGAGGGTCTGGAGTGGGGGCCTGTATGAGGAGCTCTGACCTCGTCTTCAGGTCTAGTTTGTTTTTAGCCGTTGCTATTACTCGTTCTGGGTATCCTCTGGCTGAGAACATGTCCCAGAGGTCTAGAAGTTGAGTAGCAAGTGTGTCTTCAAGGCTGTTTATCCTCTTCAAACGTAGACCTAAGGAGTAGGGTAGGGAGTTCAAGGAGGAGGGGTGACTGGAGTCGTATCGTAGATACGTGTGCAGGTTCGTGGGCTTGTAGTAGGCCTTCGTGTGAAGGAGCCTGTCCTCACTGCCAATGAACACTGTCGTATCCAGGAAGTTTATCTCTGTTTTACTCTGCTCCAAGGTGAACTTCAGATTTTCGTGGGCTGTATTTTGTCCAGGCGTAGAAAGACTGGAGGAGTGTGTCTTGTCCAGTCATTATACCGAAATATCATCAATATAACGGAAGTACACGTCTGGTTTTATCTGGGCGGAGTGCTCTCTGGTGCTCAAAGGCCACGTGAACAAAGATTTCCGCTATAGCCACACTACTTGATGCTCCAATTGCCGTTCCCTTTACTTGTCTGAACGCTGCTGAATCGAAGGATAGAATTGTATCCCTCATGACATGCAAAATCGCTTCCTCCAGGAGAGCCCTTGATGGGGACCTCCAAACTCCTGCGTCTCTGAGGGGCTGGCGTATGAGGTGTTTATGGTCGTCGAAGTACGTCGAGACCAATCTCGCTGCCTCTCGTTGGGGGATGCTTGGGTAGAGGGAGACTATGTCAAGGGAAAACAGGGTCGTGTTCTCTGGGACGGGTCCTCTGCTTGCATTCAAATCCCTCAGTTTCAGCAAAAGATCAGTTGTGTCTTTCAGACGTTCATCTAAAAGAGAGAGAAGGGGGTTTAGTAATGCTGTGCAGATCAAGTCAATTGGGCGAGTTGGTGCTTTGCAACCGCTAAGGACTGGTCTGCCCTGCCATGTACCTGTAAGAGGGTGTAAATCTTTATGAATCTTAGGAAGGAGGTATAGGTTCGGAAGCTCTGCTTTAAAGGCAAGGTAATAGTCCTCTTGCTGCTGAGCTAAGTATACCTCCTGTTGAGTTTGCTTGTTTATTGTTAAGAATTTCAGGACCAGGTTTCTACTCCTTGTCCTGGCGTTCTCCAGGGCTGTGTGGCCTTGCTGTATTTTTTGGTAAGTCGTCTCGTCTGAGAGGTGCCTTACCATTTCCTTTGTGTAGTTCGTTTTTCTCCAGACTACTACAGTACCGCCTTTATCCGCGGGTTTAATTATAATGTCTGGGCGAGCCTTAAGGGCGCGTAGCGCCTCCCTGTGTGTTTTTGTAAGGTTACCACGGGTTCTCTGCTTTACCTGTGTTTTAAGGCTTTCCAGGGTTGCCTGGATTTGTGGGTGAAGTCCATTTAAATTGAAAGTGGTGTTTCCTTGAACTGAGGCAGGATTTAGGTATTTCATTGAAAGCGATCTCTCGGTTGTTGTTTCCCTTTCTTGGTGGGGTTGTGGCCCTGACCTGAGTTTGCTCCATGCCCTGTTAATCTGTGTCTCTAGTGTGAGAGGGTTTCCTCT